CAAACACTAAAAGAAGCGTTAATGTCACCACCAATACTGGCTTATCCAGATATGTCGCGCGAGTTTACACTAACGACGGACGCATCTACTACAGCTATAGGTTATATTTTAGGTCAAAAGAATGACAACAACCATGATAGAGTTATTGCGTATGGAGGTAGATCTTTAAACAAGGCTTCAGTAAAATAGCAGATCCCTTAAATAAACTTTTAAGGAAAGATGTACAATTCTTATGGAGTCCTGAATGTGAAGCGTCATTTCAAACACTAAAAGAAGCGTTAATGTCACCACCAATACTGGCTTATCCAGATATGTCGCGCGAGTTTACACTAACGACGGACGCATCTACTACAGCTATAGGTTATATTTTAGGTCAAAAGAATGACAACAACCATGATAGAGTTATTGCGTATGGAGGTAGATCTTTAAACAACGCTGAAAAGAACTACACAATCCATGAATTAGAATGTTTGGCAGTAATTGAAGGGATAAAACAATTTGAACAATATTTGTCCAACAACCACTTTAAAGTGTATACAGATAATAAAGCAATTTCGTGGCTACAAAATGTGAAACATACATCTGGCAGGCCTATTAGATGGTCATTGAAGTTACAAGGCCTAGATTTTGAAATAATTCACAGACCTGGAAAAACAAACCCAGCTGATGCACTATCAAGACGCGAATATGAACCAGTAAATGTTTTAGAAACCGTTAGCAACGATAGTCACTTAAGTGCGGATGATACTGACAGGTGTCAAGATAAAAATTTCACCCAAGCTAGGCTGTATTAACCAAAACAAACTAGCAAATCGAGAAGTGAGCAGCACTTAAGTCAATGTGATGACATAAACGTTGTTGATGTTACAAATGTAAACGATAAAGAGAAATTAAAACAAGATCAACACGAATAGAATGCCCTGAGTTTCAAGATATAATACGTTACCTAGAACAAAATGAGTTACTTAGTGACTTAAAACAAGCGCGTAAAATCATTGCAGAATCAGAACAATATGTAATGATAGATGATATTTTGTATCATCTGTATCAACCTCGTACACGGTGAATGCCAGAAAAGATAAGAATAATAAGACAATTAGCAATTCCAGTAACACTAAGGAGTGATGTTTCACATGCATATCATGATTCATTAACAGCCGGTGGTCATCAAGGTTGTGATAGAACTTTTGCCTCCATTAGGAATAAGTATTTTTGGAAGTCACTTTACAAAGACGTCATGGAGTACGTCAAATCATGTGAAGTGTGTCAAAAGGTTAAGCATTTACGCAGAGATGCTCCAGCACCTTTGAATCCTTTACCCATCGCAGGCGTGTTTGAAAGAATGCACATGGATATATTAGGTCCCTTAATCAAATCAAAAGAAGGATATAAGTACATTTTGTTGGTAACGTGTTCTTTTTCTAATTTTGCTGAAGCAATACCTTTGAAAACTCAGGAAGCCGGAGAAATAGCCAAGACTCTTTACAGAGAAATGTTTATAAGATATGGTTGTCCGTCATATCTCGTTTCTGATCGAGGAAAGAATTTTTTATCTCAAATTATTCAATCGTTATGTAAATTATTCCACATAAAGCGCTATCATACTAGTGCATGGCATCCACAAAGTAACACAGCCTGTGAAAGAACTAATTCAATAATTGCTCAAACTTTGAGAGCATATTGTGAGAAAGATCAAACTAATTGGCCTGATATACTTCCAGGAGTAATGATGGCATTACGTGCAACTCCTTGTACGCAGTCCACAAAGTTTTCTCCTTATTATTTAGTATTTGGACGAGAAATGCGTACGCCATTAGATAGTGACTTGATACCTGAATCTCATGAGAATAAAAATCTACCTCAGTACATTAAAGAATTGAAAGACACCCTTGAAACAGCAAAAGAAATTGCAACAAAGAATAGGGAAGCAACTCAGAAACAGTATAAAGAAAGGTATGACCTTAAATCAAAGCAACCGATTTATAAAGTAGGTGATAGAGTTTGGATATATACTCCAATGACACCTAAAGGATTAAGTTCTAAATTGTAAATTAAATACAAAGGACCATATTACATTACAAAGATCTTATCAACAGGGTGCACGTATTATTTGAGAGATTGTAAAACACACAAGGAACATAAACCGCCTGTTCATGCAAATAGATTGAAAATGTATTATGACCCTAAAGATTACAATAAATACGAAAGGCTGAATGAAAGTAATAATGAGCAAGACAGCAAATCAAATGACAATAAAACGACCAATGAAACACAATGGTTTATTTAGTGAACCTTTAAATTCAGAATCAGCTCTTCTTCAGTTATATTCACAATTTTTTTCTCATTTTTTTTGCCAAAGATATGTTATCATTTGAGATTGCTAAACATGGCTCAAACAGCAAGAGACAATTAAGAGCAAACCTATACTTGTATGGCAGATGTTATTCTAGCAGACGAAATATTTCCTACAGATGATTCACCTCAAATATTTATTCGGGATACAGAGCTTATTGCTCGTGATGAAATTTGGTCTGTTTGTCAAGGTCAGGCAATTGGTACTAATAGTGGCTTTACTTAAAGAAGTATACGTAAACGATATAGTGCTTACTTTACCGTAGTGATTATAAAACTTCGCAACAAAATAAATTAATAAGCCGAAGAAACTTAGAACCACAGATTCATTCATATTACGAAGTGAAGTAATAACTATAATAATTTAGAAAAGTTCATTTAAGTATTTGTATCTACAGACTACATCTGTCAAAACATTGGCATGGCTTGACAAATATAAACATTATGATAAACAAAAAACGTTATTTTAGAATGAGTTATCCCAGAAAATTATTCAAGAACGAATATTGTACATGTTGGCGCATTAAACATGCTTGTGCACTTTTCTATATTCAGTTCGAAACATATAATCACAATGCAGATTAATTTTAATCCAATCTGAATTTGACTTGACTTGTTACACGTGTCTATAATTAACATAACGGATTAATCTTTGCGAGTGAACTTTTGGTATAAGAAGTGTGTATACGATCACAACATATTAATGACTTTATGATTCATTCTTATTGTTACTTCAATGATTTCAGACATTTCAGATTATTATTATTGAGAGTGTGCGAAANATGGCGCAAGCTAGCGCGATACCTTTAATTTTGACTTACAGGAAGGTTTTCTCAAACGCCTTCGATAACGCTTCAAGAAAAAATAAATAGTATTTTCAAGGTTACAGGCTGTGGCGATCTTACTATATATTGCGTGCAGGGACATTTCTCCCCATATGACACTGAGGTTATGTGGGAAAATATCGGTTTGCCGGTTGAAAAGTTAACGCGTTAAAAACCCCAACAGTCTCATTACAGTTGCCTTACATCCTCCGTGTGGCTTCTTCGAAAATGGAGCCGTTGTTGCCGCGGTTTTCTGCGACTGTACCACCCATTAAAGCCATGGTCACAACCGGGCGCACGAATTTTAGGATCGTATGGCCCCAGCGAATTTTGGTTGCAGTAGAATCCGTGGGGTTCGTAGGACTAGAGGAAAGGTTGCAATGGAAAGGCGCAAGTATGCCTTGCGAGTCGCTGGGGCCAGTCGTTTTGGAAGGTTTTGTAAATGTTTGCGTTCGAGAAGTCCAGTTTGCAGCACTCACGGAGGATAACAGTTGACAATAAGGAATAGAAAGCTTCGCCAAGCTGTTTGTTGTCTTCGTTTTAGGTTTGAAACTGTTTCACCGTGGCGATATGTTACAGTTAGCAGGTACTTGGTATTGTACTCATATTGTCGTTATTCTCAATTGCTGGTAACCGAAAATGCTGCCATTTTGTATTTGTGCTCTTACTGTGTTTGTAGATTTGTTATTTAAATGATCTGCCTTAAAGTACATGAACAAAACGCTTAAATTGTCAAGATGCAATGGCGCAAGCTAGCGCGATACCTTTAGTTTTGACTTAAGGAACGTTTTCTCAAACTCCCGCCATAATGCTACAAGGACAGGTAGGCATGAGGGGGTAGTTTTACCAGTTCCGTCTTCCCTGAGCACGCGCAAGAGCCAAGATAACTTTTATCACGAATAACGTACTGTGAAATCGTAAATAGTATTTTCAAGGTTACAGGTTGTGGCGAGCTTACTATATATTGCGTGCAGGGACATTTCTCCCCATATGACATTGAGGTTATGTGGGAAAATATATGTTGTAAAGCAAATTACTTACACTTTCACTAATCACAGATAACAATTAAAGCGGAATCAAAAGAGTAAAAGGACAGAGAGTTATTGAGTGTAAGTTAAGTTTCTCCAAGAGTCAACAAGTGTAGAACATGTTTTTAGTGTCAGAAAAAGATGGAAAAGGTCAAAGTCAGTAACAGTTAATGTGATTGGTTAATTTCATAACATATAATAATTTTGATCATCTATTTATCACATGATAGCTGAGTTTTGGATAAGGTCCAAGCATGAGTAATCCAAATAATATTTTAGATATCTTTAATTGAAAACAAGTATCTAAGGGATTACCTAATAAGGAAATGTTGCATGGTGACTTGCAACATGCGAATGGAAAATATTTTGTAATCACGCAAAGACAATGGAAAAGAAAACAAGTAAGTGCGTGATCAGTACGGAGAAATTGAGTATAAATATTTGTGAAGTTGTATGAAGAGAGAGTCGGTGAATAAACGTTCTAAAGCTCCCAAACTGCTGTCGTCATTTCTCACTATAACAATACTCTTAATAACCTCCAAGTTTTTACATTAACGGCCTAGGTGGAGGTACAATGTAAAAGCAATTACAGCGTTTAAAAAATCCTCCTCCCCCGGAGATAGCCAAACCTCCAGTAGAACAAGCCCAAAAATCTCAACTTCCTCATTCCAATGATCTAGGAGGAGATAGCAGAGTTTATATAAAGAAGAAAAAAATCACCCTTCCCCACAGGCACAGCCAAACCCCCAAAGAACATTAATATTCCGAAGAAACTTAAGTTGCATCCCAATTATTCCTAATAGTCATAGTCATAGTCCGAGGTCAAAATGGAAGTATCATCTTCGGGGGTATCGCTATCATCTTCAGAGCTATCACTTTTGCAGTTTTCTTCTTTGTTTCTCTGGACATCTATATTGTATTTCACCTTCCTGCAAACTTTGCATTTTTGTTCTCCATTTCTAAGCTGTGTTTTAGTGAATGCTTCTCGCGGAAAGCATCTTTGACAGCCCACACACTCGGGGCCTTCAGAGGATTGATAGGGTGAAAAATTGACATATCCTTTTTCTGGTATTACATTAAGCGGAAGGTACCCGTTTTTCTCAAAATTGTCATAACGGCGATTTTTTATCGAACGCTTCAGACTGACGTAGCACGTTGATGCAACTTTCAACCGCCTCATGTCTAGATCGCCCATTTTCATTTTCTCGTAGAGAATAAACAGGGTTGATACGTCGACGCATGCGTAATTGATCATGTCGCTGGGAATAGGTCTGACCATCCACTGCTCTGGTGATTGCACGAAGGTTGAGCCAACAGATTTTTTTATTTCAATACACGTAACATCGTCGGTGTAAAGCTCAAGACAACGCAACAAACTAAGCACCTTTACGCAGGGTGCTACGGCAGCTCTGTTTCGACCAAACGGCGAGAGATCCGAGTTATCTCTATTACAAAACATAATTTGCAAAAGCTGCAAATCCAGGACACCGTCGAGTTTCACGTGGTACTGATGCCAGAGGATATCAGAATCTTCACGGCAGTCAAACATCAGCTTTTCACGTGTAGGATCCTCCAGAATCTCGCGAAGCCCGCGATCAAAAACACGCTTCCCTAGCTCAAGGATATCAAACAGGAAAACGTGATCTCTTGTTGCGATGACAATTAAAGACAGCGTTCCTCTTCTGGAATAATTAACACCTTCGCCATCGACAGCTAGATTCGGACCTTCTTCACTCACGCTTCTCAAGGTTTCAAGGGCTGAATCTAAGCGCTCGCTGGTGTTAACCAAAGTGTACATGTACTCTTTGGCACGATGTGCCCTCGGTCCACGTGCACCAAGTGAACTGGCCGATGGTCCCTTACTTTTGGACATCATGGATTTCTGAGATCACCCGTCGATCTGGAATAGAAACAAAATAGAAACATTGCAAGAAAAATTGTTGCAGAGTGAAAGTTAGTGTCAGGAAAGGAAGATTTAAGGTTGTAAAATCGAGGGGAAATGTTGCTTACCCGGGGAACTCGTTAAATCTCGGAAGGGAAAATCATCAGGCCTACCAAACTATACCAGACTCGGCACATACGGATCTGAATTAACCGGTATATCGGACCACACTACCCCTTTTCAAGGTGTGTGACAGATCGCATTTCGGAGTATCAGTCAGAACACCGACAGGATGAGCCCGGGGTCGTCCTAAAAAATTTGTTCTGGGATTAAAAACGAGTAGTGTGGTCCGATATACCGGTTAATTCAGGATCCTTATGTGCCGAGTCTGGTAGTTGGGTAGTCCTGATCATTGTACTTATGACGCAAGGTGCAAATTTATGTTTGATGCGATAGATCTAAATGTAGGCCTACGTCATTACTGCACGTACTGGTATATCAGAGGGACGACCTTGTGTACAGAGTATTATACGAAAATGGAAGCTACGTATCAAGAATTAATTCTCTCACAAAATTTTACGTAATAAAATCTACTGTTTTCTTTGTAGCCATAACTTAATATCGTTACCTGTAGGCAAATGTACAACGATCAAGTAAAGATCTTTCCCAATATCAATGGATTAACGGGAGTCCAGCAATGAAATAGCTTGAAAAACGTAAAATATCACCAATATCCTAACAGAATATTTCGTATTACAAATCCTGTAACGCTATCTTACCTTACAATGTACGAGTACACACCAATGTCCCTGAAACTGTAACTGGTTTATGACGCTAAGGCAAGGTCTATGACTGTACTAGACTTAAGCTTTCCGTGTATACTTTAAGGTTTGACATAGACACCGATTAAATAGGTTGGTTGGCTTTTGTACAGTTCTCCGAAAATTTTTAACGTCTATTGAATATTGTATTTGCTTTAATTGTTAACACATGACTGCTTTTTTGATCGGTTTTATAAAGTACAATATTTTGACCTAGATTTTGATTTACCTTTCCGCGTAAGTTCCATTAACTCCAGCTTTCTTCGAACGTAAACAATAAGCTAGGGACAAACAGTGCTTGTAGCCTATGTACTGAATATGTGTTTTCATGGATATACAGGATAAATATGAACAGAAGGATGAAAATGAAATGTAAAATCAGATGAAAAACAGTAAATAAATGTTTTATATTGATTTTCTTTATTAATTTCTGCTGATATGTGGGTAATATGAATATGCATTATGCCTCCCTGACTTTGATCAGTATATAAGCTCAAAACCATATCAACAGACTTATGATTCAGTGTAAAACACATGACAGCCTTCATTAAAAAGTTACTCAGGTGCACATTTTAAACAAGTTGAAAACTATCAAATTTAACCTGTAGGCTACCATTATTCACAGCTATGGAGGATCGGGGGGGGGGGGGGGGGTTGGGGGCGTACCTCTGCCTCACCCCTTCAGCTTCGGAATAACCATCCCTTACATCTTTACCTTCTAGTCTGTCTCAGAACAAATGAAGATTTTTAAGAATTCCCTGCAGGATTTAGCTTGATTATAATGAACTGTAATTGAAATATCAAAAGGCGTGAATATGGTGATATATTTTAAATCTCCCAAATGATCAAATAAGTAATTATAGCTCAAAAAAGAATGTTTTTTGTTTTTACTGCTCTGCTTATACAGTGTACTTGCGTACACAAAGTTTATGACCCTTATTCAACTTATAACAAATGTAGACCAGTGTCCCTAAAACTTGTTTCACGATGCTACGTCGACGCCTATGGCTGTTGCTTAACTGCCCGTGGACTACAGGAACCTATTGCCTTTTGATCAGTTCTCCGAAAAAGACTGTCGGGAATTGATATCTCAACTCCTTTATAAAGGCAAGAATTCGAATGCGTAAATAATTGATATCACAAACAAGAATGTATTTCCCCAAAAAGGAACCAGGTGACGGGAGGATGGCGATGGGTGAAATCCGTAATCAGTGATCGATGAAATCTATTCCACACTTTCCCAGACACGTTTGTTTGTTGACCATGACGCTGTGAATCAGCAATCATTTGATTATGTTTATTCTTGTAAATCGATTTATTATTTGTTATCGGTGATATTTGATTTTATTCACACTGTCTTTATCGTGACTGGTAACACCCGCCCCATTCCCCCCTTTGGCAGCCGTAAATTGAAGTCACGATCTCGATATTTACATACCATTCTCGAGAATTCTATAGGAAAACAAATATTGACTGTCCAACAAATATTTAGTTTTTTTTAGTTTATATTTCCCATTCATTTCTAAAATTCACTATAAATGGAAGCACTCTTGAAATAGTAAAATATTTTTTTTTTGGAATCACATTTACAAGCTGAGGCTCACTTAAAAAGGCCATGGAAAACTTTAAGCTAAAAGGTGTCAGGGCTTTATTCCCTCAAAGCAACCTGAAAATCACAAAACGTAGCACACCCCGTATTAACAATGAGACTTTTCCATAAATTTATGAAACCAATTCTAACCTACAGGTGTGAGGTATAGTACCAAGAAGTCTTTAAGCAAAAGAAAATGTTATTCAACTTCTTAATTAATTAATAAGTTACCTTTTGAACAGATTAATCTAAAAATGTGCAAGGGGGCACTAGGGGTTCAAAGATTAACAAGCAATAATGCAAGCCCAGCAGAACCTGGAAGATACCTGGGGCCGATTTCACAAATCAGTAGTTAGTTAGAACAACTAGGCCTAACTACTGAACTACCTCGCTAACGAGCAAACTTAGCGATTTTCGAGGGGTGTTTCACGAAGCAGTCGTTAACTTATCGCTATAAGTTCGGTCGTAAAGTTCGGTCGTTAGTTCTCTCGTTACTCACCGTAGTCTCGAAACCGTCTGCCGGAAGTGGAACTCTTGCGTAAAAGTGTTACGAAAGCACTAACTCTCCAATTTTTGGTGGCTGAAAATGCATACGAACGTCTGCTTTGAGGTCGTCGTAAAGGATCTCCACCACCTTTTTGCCGCTCTTTTTGTTACAGCTAGGCGCAACCTCTCGTAAATTGCATCATCGTGTGTATATTCTAATAGATTCTGCCTTTCATGAAAACGTCGTAGTCTACGTTGCCGTCTGGCGGTACGGATAGCAAGAAAAGTAGCCGCCATATTGGATACAAAGACAAACGACAGACAACGGTAACTAAGCAACCTTTTTATTTCACTCATTACGCATGCGTATGATGAAACTCTAGAGTTAGCGACTGGTCTGACCAGTCGTTAAATATCCAAGGCAACAACGAGACAATAACGAGCGAGAGAACTAGCGACTGCTTCGTGAAACGGCACTATAACTAGCGAGAGGCTAACTACCGATCGCTAACTAACTACTGCTTTGTGAAACCGGCCCCAGGCCCGTAGCAAGCAATTGCAAATGGAGGGTTTCTTTTTCTGAAAATGTGGACCTTTTGTCATGAGACCTAAGTTTACCTTGATCAGATTTACCCACAGTGGACCTTTTCCTAGCAAAAAGGGAGAAGAGTAAACTGCAGAAAGTTGCAAACACTCTTAACCTGCCACAAGCGGTAACACTATACAAGAGGAGCCATGCGCCAGTGATGAGCTGTAGGAGTAGTTTTAATTCATGAATGATATCAATTTTTTTCTAAAATATTTCTGAAACTTTTAATTGAAAATGTGCCACACATGTTTATGCTAAAAATCACATATATATATAATGATTTTCAAATCCTTTTTTTTAACAAATGGCCAACCATACAACCAAATATTGCAGACATTTTAAAGCGAAAATCGACAAAACATAAATCAATTATATTTACACATAAAATGGATAACAACTTTTCATTTGCGATTCAAACTACTCTATTAAATAAACTGTAAACAACACACAGAAATATAATTAATTCCATTTTTCCACCAAAACGGTGGTTATAGCAATTATTCTGACATCTTTGCTTGTCATTGGTCTATTTGGACCATCATAGCTGGCTATCCTGCTTAATATTTTTAATATTTTAATCTTAAAATGAAGAATTATTATGCCTTGAGGGTTTATTACAAAAAATCACTTTAAAAAAACAATCAACTAACATTGAATAAAGAGTTGTCATTCCGTTAAGAGATTGTTATAAATAAAAAAAAATAAATAAATAAATAAATAACTATTAACTTTAAATATCAATCAATTGGCTTCTCAAGGAAAATCCGTTTTATGGCAGCTTTACTAACAAAATGAAGAGTTTTTTCACTTTAATTATACTGACAACAAACATCTGTAATGTGGTACTAGTAAAATGATTATAACGGGTGTGGTTAGTTCTAACGTGATTATAAAATACTGCCTACATTTTCAGAAAACTCAACCGATAGATGTGTCAAACGCACATTCATTAAGAAAAGATATATCGCGTAAGTGAAATTAACTCATCTAAATAAATGATCGTATTCGAAAATTTAGATATTTTCTATACCTAAACAGTTAGACTTTGTAAGCTTCCAATGAGCAACAGTGCACTATTCGCGCAGGATGCCTTGAAAAAAATACATATCAACGAGAAAAGAATTTACATACATTGTGCTAGTTGAGCACATTCATGGCACAATGATCTAAAAATATTTTTTTATGATTTTTTGGTGAACAATAATTAGCCTTGTCTTGCAGTGATGCACGATCATTTATAAGCTTCTTTGACCAAGATGTTGATCCGAATCACACCTAAATAAATTATAATCTCTTTTAAGATTTCTAAAAACTTCATGAATCTATAATTATACTGAGTTATGGCGGTGACGAATTAACAAACAGAGGTGAAAACAAATCCTCACTGACGGAGGTCATCATCACCAAAATTTAGAAAATTCAATGTAGCAGCAACTGTTCGCGTTATCTTCGTCACGTTACAATCTCCTCCCTCTAATCTTCCCGGCACTCTTTTCCATTTTCA